TATGCTAGTTGTGATAATTTCATGCCAAGTAAAAATGTCCATAGTCATATTTTATGTTCCTAAAGTAGCAGAATGACTTTCAAACTAGAAAAGACAAAAGAAATGCTAATGTAGTAATGTAGTGTAAGTTCCGTTATCCCCGAAAAAAACCCGGAAAAAACCTGGGTTTTTTTCTGAGCTTCAAAATTTCCGGAAATTTTACATCTCTACCTGTGGCTCACCGGCATCTACCTTTAGGGCAAAGGATCACTCTGCCAGATGCTGCATATTGCCAGGGCAGAAGGGGCTACTTTTTCGGGAGGTGAGACAGAAGCATACATCCCGCAGCAAGAAGAGCTGAACGTTGCTTCGGGAATAAAATGACATGCATTAAGCCAGCCTTGCACACTTCTGCTTGCTGGTTATGAGACAGAACAGCCATCTATATAATCCAGACTACAGAAGCACACACCCCCTCCACGGAACCCTTCCTCCCCTGACTCCTGAAGTTTTCCTGACACTTTCTACAAACGTGCAAGCCTACCTTTATGGACACAGCAATGCGCCTCTCCCTTTGCAAGTTGAAGTTATGCATACTACCACTTATACAGCCCCTTTTTAAAATCTGCAAAGTACTCCATTACGGTTTGCCGTTTTCACCATAAGACAGCGATGCAGCTAACCAGTGACGCAACTGAGAAGATGCCACCTGTGCATGGCCAGGGTGGGGGGGCTTGCCAGGTTCAACAGACCATGTTGGCTCTCAGGGATGCCTGTAACCTTGCCTACGAGCATCCTTCTGTGCCCCGGTAACAACGAGCAGGGTGCCCTCTGCATCGGGCAGTATGGGATCTCAATTTTGAAGTTTAGACCAGGGTCACTTTGTCGTGGTCACGCAAGCTGCTAGCATCCATCAATGTACACTGTTGCCAGCTTTCTGGGCTCCCACTGTGGGAGGATGGATGGGTCCTACGCATGCCTTGCGACAGACGATCCAGGCTAGCCTCATCTCATCAGATCTCACAAACTAAGCAAGGTTGGCCATGGTTGGTACTTGGGATGGGAGACCACCAAGGAAGTCCAGGGTTGCTTTATTTATTTATTTATTTTACATATTAAAATCTAATAACAAAGTGCTCAGTGCCATTCATACTCTAAAGATGGCGGATCGTATGTCCAAAGTCCCAAGAAGACGGCAGAAGGATTCTTCCATAGTAGGTGTTTAATTGGGACCTCAGGGCGGTGGTAGTATAGTAGGGGCGGCGGATCCTACTCGAAAGCCTGGCGGAAGAGCTCCGTCTTGCAGGCTCTGCAGAACTGCATAAGATCCCGCAGGGCCCTGATCTCCTCTGGGAGCTCATTCCACCAGGTAGGAGCCGCCACCAACCGTCTCCGAAAAAACTTCAGACCGCCAACGCTCCACACAAAGCCAGAAAATTCTGCTGCCGCTGAACAGTTTAACAATTACAATTACAGTTCCAAGCTGCTCAAAATACTCAACAATTTAGCTACCTCAGGTCAACTGAAACATATCATTAAATGCAACCCAACAATAAAACCACTACCTCTACTCCTGACACTCCAGTCAACCAGCAGAGGCAGGCGATGGCAAACCCGCCTCTGAATGTCTCTTGCCTCAAAAAGCCATCTGGGGTCGCCATACGTTGGCTGCGACTTGACAGCACCTTCCACTGTACATGCACATCTGTCTATCCGCTTGCAGTAATAAGTCACATAGCTATGAGACAGCAAAACGGACGATGTCATGACTCAGTTGCTCACAAGGCAACTGCGGCAACAACGTGGACGAAGCACCTGAGACTCAAAAGCGCACTTGGGCCTCCTCAAGAAAACAAAACAAAAATAGTTGCTGGGGATTTAACACTCCACACGCACATGACCTGTAGAGGCTAATCCTGGATTGCTGGGTGGGTCATACGACTCCCAGACCCTGTTCTAAAAAGACCCGGTTTGGAGACAACACAAAACACCGTGGTGGAACACGTGCCCTCTTCTCCCCTTCCCTTTGCATGCTGAGATCGCCATGCTAGAATCCAGAAACTACCGATCACGAGAGGGAGGGCAGGAAGGGTTGCCTCAGTGCTTTGCCCTTGTGG